TCGAATTATTTCATTTAGCGTTACAGTTTTTGTATCCGTATAAATTTTTTTGCAAAAATGTATTAAAAAATATTTTGAGTGAGATTGTTTTAAGTTAATAGAACTTTGTGGTTATCGACTACATAACAATTTTAGACTTATATCAAGAAGTTTAATGGTTAAAGTTTAAATTTAAGGAAAAATCAATTTGAAGATACCCGGTGCCGGGTACTGCAACAAAATGGCCGATACCGGGTACCCGGTAAAACAGCCGAATAGCCGGGTCCCCGGGTCCGAACCGGGTACCCGACACATCACTAATATATATATATATATATATATATATATATATATATATATATATATATATATATATATATATATATATATATATATATATATATATATATATATATATATATATATATATATATATATATATATATATATATATATATATATATATATATATATATATATTTATACATATATATATATAGGGCCGGCGCGAGTAGGTGTCAAGTGGGGGGGTGCCATAACAACTTTTGTCGACTAATAAAAAAAAAAAAAAAGGTCCTCGTTTTCCAAAATTTGCCGACTGTCATGACGACATTTGCCGACTGTCTAACCTATATCGAAAGGGTCGACATTTGCCGACTAACTAGTCTAAAAGGGTCCAATTTGCCGACTAAGGGTCCAGTTTGCCGACTAAAAATCATTGATGGGGGAGGGGGGTGTCACACCCCCTATCGCGCCGGCCTTGTATATATATATATATATATATATATATATATATATATATATATATATATATATATATATATATATATATATATATATATATATATATATATTCCCAAAAGCGTACGAACGCTTAAAAGGAGGGGGGGGGGGGAAGGGTGTTAAATATAGTGAGTACGAACGCAGTTTGACTATCTCACCTAAACTTGATTTAATTTTTTTTAAAACATTGAATTTCACGTTTCTAAAAAATCAGAATTAGGATTGTTTTTCTGACTTCAGTTACAATATTTTTAAAATTTCTTGTTTCTTGAGTTTTTGAAGCTGGTAAAATTTTCACCAGCTTCAAAAACTCGGGAATCAGTGAAATTAAGTGAGAAAGGACACTATCATGGTCTACAAGCTTATTTAAAACTGATTCAAAATCATTTAGTTAAATATTCTTGAACTTTGCATGATCCACAAATATATTGCGATGGAATTGTAGCCTTCTATACTCTTCAAAGTCACCTTTGTAAAAACCCTCAACAAATCCATCTTCTAAGCACTGACCAATAATAAATTTTTCTACATTTGCTAAATGCTCAGTGGTCTCAGTTGGTTTGAAATGAGTTGCAAATCCCGTTATCACACAATCCAGAGATGCATAGAAAAGCTGGCAATAGTGGTCCTCAGGAGTCAGAAGTATCAAAGTTTACAGGAGTCGGAAGTATCAAAGTTTACTGGAAGTGGAGTATGGAACTCCACTTCCAATAAACTTTGATGTAATTTTACGTTTCCATGGCATCTATGATTTCTCAAGTAAACTACATTCTGCTGCTACAACGGCTGCATCCCATAAGACTTTGAAGCGAGTATCACCCCGGGCTTCTTTTAACACCTCTTTAAGCGTGTTGATGGTATTTCTTGCTTTGCAAAAAAAACGCTACATGCCTAAAATAATTTTCGATAAACGTTTAACATTATAATTTGCTTAAAATAATATATTAAAAAAAAACACTATGAAATAAAACTTGGAGTGCTGTATTAGCATCCTCGATTATCGCAAAGACCATGCAAAAAATTTCCAATTTGAAAAATGTGTCAACCTTACAAAAAGATTCTAGATAACCCGCTGCTTGTGACTTATTTTTTGCTGAATTATCAGAATGATTTTCAAAATTCTGTAACCAGTTGATGATAGCGGAATAGTTACTCGTAATAGATATAATGGAAGGTTTTCTAAAGATCCATCGAGTGGGGTAAAATGGCCGCAGTGATGTTCCACTTTCTACATCCTCTACATTTCGAAACTTATTAACAATGCCAGTCGCTTTGGAGATCCACGGGTAAATGCAATGAGTTATTGCACTAAATTCATAATATTCCTGATCTCTGTTTAATTTTCAACAGAATCTTGTGCTACAAAGTTGAGATTATGAACGCAGCAGTGCACGTAAATTGCCCGCTCTTTTTCCCCCCTCATTAAAGTCTGCAATCCATAGATACTTCCAGACATGTTAGACAATCCGTCAAAAGATTGGCCTCGACTATTTTGAATCAACAGGCTAAATCGACACAAAATGTCAATCAAACATTTAACAAAATTCCTCTCTTGATGTTCTCGGTTTGGTAAAATCCCATACAAAGCTACTCAATTTTAAATTTTTCATTAATACATCGAATGCAGATCGAAACTTATTCTTTTGTGGACACACCTGTTGTTTTATTGGCCATCAAACTATAGAATTGTGATTCCCTTACTTTCGCATAGCTTACGAGCAAAGTCTTGTAGAATTTCGTTTTCAATTTCCGGCAAGAGCCACTTTTGCTTTTCAGGACAGTATGACCACTTCTTCAGTTCCAGAGAATCTTCTGCTTGTAGTTTAAGTAGCATGCAAAAGTTTGAATTATTTTTAACCTTTCAACAAATGGCAAAGTCTTGCGTTCCTTAATACAAGAAGAAACATTTTAGTTATCCAGTAAATAAACTGAATGATTGATAGTTAATCTATATTTTTCTTAAACGAAATTGAGGAATTACCTAATAAAGTGTTGCAAATATTTTTGATAAAACGGTTCAATTATCCATCATTTCTTTCTTTTGGTGATAATTAAGCTGCTGGATAACGGTCGATTCCAGTGTTGCTGAGGCGATCATACTAACGGAGCCCTATGGAGTTCAGATCGCTCGTAAGAGCCAAAAATTTGTAACGCTTTCTTTCGATTAGAAAATCCGTTTAAAATAAAAGCTTCGTACGAATTTTTTTCTATTGAACTACGAGGTAAAAACATTTTCATTTGGGTAGCTTTGATGCAGGTAGAAAAAAAAATTTTTTTTTTCTCGCGGTCATGTAAAACCCATTTATATTTTTCATTCTAGCTTTCTTTAAATTTTCTTCCCTTTTTTGATAAAAAAGATGACTGTCTTGAACAACAAGGTCTAGGATCCTCTGTAAAAGACGACGAATCAATAACAGCGGTTAAATCAGCCGTGGCGAATTGGTAGCACACTTGCCTCAGAAACGAATGATATGTGGTTCAAACCTCACCTCTGGGCAAGTTTAACGACATTGATTGGGAAGGAGGCGTGAACTTCCTAATAAAATAAGACCGTAAGGACTTCTAATAAGACCGTAAGGACTTCTTGGAGCACCTAAAAGAAAATTAAAAAAAAATCAGTTGCATTATCTGACTAAACAAATGATAAACTTTCATGAGTATGATCTTGGAAGTTATTAGCATTTTGAGATTCAAAAAATAATGCAACTGTTAATTTGATTTTCTTTTTTTAAAAGTATTCACTAATCCTCTTCATTGTACAAGTTGTACAACTTGTAACTTAAACGTCAATCTACTGTTGAACAATTGAAAGATTTCTTCAAAAACTTACTTTTTTTAATTCAAATGATTTTTAATTCAAAACTTATAAATAATTAATACAATTAACACAGCCAAAGTTATCAAAGAAAAAAATACTAAACAAACGTATAACTCACACAACCAGTGGCGGAACTTCAAAATTTGGGCCCCCCCGCAAAAGAATGTTTTTTTTGCGGAAAAGAGTTTTATAGTATAAATATTATTGAGAGTATAACTTTTTTTATATGAGGGCCCCCTATAGCTGGTAGGCCCCCCCGCAACGCAGGGTCCTGCGTCCAGTAGTTCCGCCACTGCACACAACTCTTTAGTTTATGTAGTTCCGTTAATTTGCTTTTTGTTACGTTTTTACCGGTCTCAAACTCAAACTCCCTAGAGACTCATCAGAAACGAGGAATTTCTAAAATTCGAAGATTTCAAAAGTTAAACTTTTGAAAATCACCATAGGTATTGCGGAAATATTACAATCGTTTTTAAATTGTTATATTTGTTAATGTTTAAGTATATTTTGATTTTTTATTTTTTAAATATTTTAGAAAGCTTTGTGAATTTTCCCGGGCGACAAATTTCCGGATGGGGCTCGAGTCCCCGAACTCCAGCGCGTTCTACACCTATGTACATATATATATACATATATACATATATATATATATATATATATATATATATATATATATATATATATATATATATATATATATATATATATATATATATATATATATAATATATATATATATATATATATATATATATATATATATATATATATATATATATATATATATATATACATATATATATATATATCCCAGAAAATCATTAAATTAGGAAGTTATCCATATTCGCCTATTTTTATTCACTCATTTATTATAACATATTCAGTTTCGTTGCTATCGTAACCAAAAAAGTAGCTAAAAATACCACGGATATTTAGTGACATTAAAACTTTAAAAATTAGATATCTAAATTTTTAATGAAAAATATTTTCCGTGAGACTTGAGAGAAAATTTAGTTGTCTGTTGTATTTTATATATATATATATATATATATATATATATATATATATATATATATATATATATATATATATATATATATATATATATATATATATATATATATATATATATATATATATATATATATATATATATATATATATATATATATATCCCAGAAAATCATTAAATTAGGAAGTTATCCATATTCGCCTATTTTTATTCACTCATTTATTATTGCATATTCAGTTTCGTTGCTATCGTAACCAAAAAAGTAGCTAAAAATACCACGGATATTTAATGACATTAAAACTTTAAAGATTAGATATCTAAATTTTTAATGAAAAATATTTTCCGTGAGACTTGAGAGAAAATTTAGTTGTCTGTTGTATTTTTTTAAATTCTAGGGTAGTTGCACCTGAAGGAATCATTATTTTCCCCTTAAGGAATCACTTTTATTAAATAAGATACTTTTGTTGTGCCAGTATAGTCTAAAGACTTAAGTCAATAAACTTTGGTACCAGTTCGATAAATCAGGAATCTATTGCACGGCTTCCGTAAATACTTTGTTATGAAATTTACGACAACGATTTGCTGTGAATTAAATTTTATTAGAAGTCTATAGTTTTTTCATAAATTAATTTAAACGTGACGACGATAGGAAGTTAAATGGAATCTCGAGAGAAAGGAACTTCTTTTCCAGTCTGGATTGGGTCTCTTGCAGAATCTGTTAACGAACAAGTATTAATGATGCATTTTAACAAGTTTGGCCCCATTCGAGGTATAAGCATTGTAAGAGATCTAGTTACTAGGAAATCAAAACAGTTTGGTTAGTATATATATATATATATATTTGGTTCCTCATTTAATATTAAGTAAACACATCATCAACCAATTTAATCAAAAAGTTTGATAACTTTTTTAAAAGTCGATAACATTGGTTAATGTTTGTTACTGTATTACAGTTATTGACAAGATAAGTTATGCTTACTGTCTTATTTTAAATTGTAATCTTAGTTTAAGTTATCAATAATAATAATAAAAAAATACTGGAGCTGATAATAAATATTACACTTGTGTTTGTTAATTAGTCTTAGTTTAAGTTATCAATAATAATAAAAAAAAAAACTACTGGAGCTAATAATAAATATTACACTTGTGTTTGGAAAAGTTTCCACAACACAATTTTTTTATTTAAATATGAAAGAGTTGCAACAATTCTTTTTAACTAGATGCCCTTAAAGTATTTGACCTGTTTTATAGATCAATACTGAGATCAATACAATTTTTCGATATTAGGATTTGTTGAAAAAACTGTGGTCAAAATAATGTTTTTCTTTACTTAAATTGTCATAACTTTGTCAATTCTTATCGAAAAACAAATATCTTAGTGTCAAAAGATAGGTGTAAGAGTGGGCTACAACTTTATGTTAAACTCTAACCACCGGGCGTTTCGGACGGACAGAGGGGGCACCAAACCACCACCATACCCGTACAAAACCGAACACTTTTTTCAGACAAAAAGTTTTTTTTAAAGACATAAGCAATATAAATTTTAAAACAAATTGTTTTAAACTTATACTTAACCATTAAAATATATGAGAGGTGTATGTTAGCAATAGAGGTGGGTGTGGTGGTGGTGGTTTATTACACCCTAGTATCAAAAACGACTTGATTTTATATTTATATCTTTACTGAAATGTGTAAAATTAGTATACAATATAAAATTATTTTATACATGATCTTACGTCTACAAGTGGTGTTTCTATTACAGGAGGGCGTATGCCCCCCCACCCACCCATCCTAAAAAAAATATATACAATTACTGTTTTCAAAATTTGAATGATAAATTTAAAAATGAAATTATGAAATTGGAAATAAATTAAAAAATAAATTCATATCAGACAACCATCAAATATGGAAGATGAATGTAAAACTCATAGTAGATATGTTGATGATGTTTTAAAGGGGAAAGAAAGTAAAGAGGCATTTAGAATGCCTCTTTCCCCTTTAAAACATCATCAACATATCTACTATGAGTTTTTTCCCCCTCTAACCTAATATTATTATTTAATTGGTTATATATTACTAAAAAAATTATACAACTACTATTGTGGGGCTATAATTAAGTCAATTGGCTTTAAAAAACATGTCATCTTTATAACCAAGTATAGCAAATACCTATATTATTGTCTTTCATGTGATTCTCACATTAACAGAACCATACAGTATGGTTAACGAGCTAACCATTTTCTTCGGTTAATAAACAAATTTCCTGTTTCAAAATAAATATTATTTATGCAAGTCACAACACTTGCAACATATTTTTGACAAGTCACAACACTTGCACTGTGTTATTAAATTAATTAAATTGTAACTCACTGAAAACAACATCAGCAGCAAGCTGGATCTTTTTCATGCAATAGTCAACAGCTCCAATATCAGTTTCATCATCTTTCCAGTAAGAAATGGTGTAAATAAAGTTATTTTTTCTTTTATTAACTTTTTCTACTCTTTCGCTATATAAAACACTTTTGCATGTTTTTGGATCGTACCATTCATGCTCTAGTTTTTTCCGAACAATTCTATCTGACATGACATCTTCTAAATCAAATAGTTGGTCATTGGACAAGCGCTTGCATGAATTAATAATTTCGTTAAAACTCAATTTGGATAGCTCACGCTCTAACTTTCTTTTTTCTTTTTCATCCATTTTTTGGCGCTTGATTTTTTGTCTTTGGCAAATCTCATCTCTCACTTTGCATCGATGCATTAATTGACCATTTAACAACCTTTTTTCTTAAACTTAAATCTTTTAAAAAAAACTTTTAAATCAAAACATTTATTCAACAAGGAATACTAACACAGCATAAAAATACTTTAAATGATATAGTAACTAAAACAATTCAAACTTAACTTACTGATTGTTTGTTCTAAATTGTCTACAGAAAAAAAAGAGTGACTTAAAAAAATGTAAGTATTAAGTATACAAAAATACAACTAACAAGAAATAATATTGTTAGACAACAATCTACACAGGCATAATAAAGAACTGCATTAGAAAACTAATATCATTTATATATATATATATATATATATACTCTTGCATGTCTCTTGCGTGGCATCAAAAAAAGTTTCCCATAAACTGTAGTTTTAAAGAGCGCGTTAATAAACCAGACCAGAAAAAGTTTTAAAAAATTAAATTATTTTTTTTAATTGATAGACTGCCTGGCCAAACCAAACCCTCAGTCGATGTAGCAGCACTCGCTTGCGAGTCAGGCTATTTGTCAGTCGTTGTAGCAGCACTCCCTTGCGAGTCAGGCTATTTGTCAGTCGATGTAGCAGCATTCCCTTGCGAGTCAGGCTATTTGTCTGTCGATGTAGCAGCACTCCATTGCGAGTCAGGCTATTTGTCAGTCGATGTAGCAGCACTCCGTTGCGAGTCAGGCTATTTGTCAGTCGATGTAGCAGCACTCCGTTGCGAGTCAGGCTATAAGATAGTCGATGTAGCAACATTTACGCATGTTTTAAAAATGTTTTTTATTAAATCAATAACAAAAACACTACTAATTAAAAAAAACTTTGTAGTCGTTATAATTGCGGTTTTTTAAAAATTTTTTAAAAAACAATTAAATTTAATGTACTTCCGCATAAATTAATTGCTTTGACATTTCGATGACAATCAAAAACAGCGTAAGAGACGAGGTAATTAAAATTGTAGTCGTAAGAGACTTTTTTTACATTAAAACGCTCTTAAAGCTACACTATATGGGTATATATATATATATATATATATATATATATATATATATATATATATATATATATATATAGAACATATATTATAATAGCATCTATTTAATAACTACTAAGCTATTGAATACAGAAAGTAACTAACTGATGTTGTCGGCTGCACTACAACTTTGTTTATCTAAAACAGTGAAAGAAATATTTAAGTTATACATAAAGATTTAGATAGTGGGCAGATAATTTAAAAACAGTTTAATAAATTTATATCGAAACAACTTATCCATAAAGATATTTCTTATTAAATAAAAACAACGTTCAATCTTCAAATTAGATATGATTCATCAATAATTTAATTCACATCTAATTCTTATTAATAAATTACTAGATGAAATACTAGATGAGACCTTTATTTTCTTCCTCCATTTTATTTCTAAATCAAATATAAAATCAAAGTCTTATTTTAATATTTACTAAAAATCGTTTTATTAAAGTAATTTCTTTTAAATGTACAATTTTTTTAACTATATTTTTATTCTAAAATATCTAGGTTTACAATATCAATTTATGACATAAGTCAAATATTGCTAATATGAATACTATATATGTAAAATAAATATAAATAAAAACTCTCCCGCGCCAACATCAGGTAAAATGTAAATTAAGTAACAAAAGTGCAGCAAGAAATAAGGTGACTGCTACAAAATATTTTTCAACGAAAATTGGCAGGTGCATAGATAAATGAATAAATTTAATAAAAAAAATGGATAGAAAAAAAAAAGACTTTATCCTGGACATTAAATTCACCACAGAAGTACAACCAAAATTTTGACATCAATAAACTCGTTAATAAATTAAGTGAGTATAATTAAAAACCAATCGAACTAATGCTTCAACTATTCTTCTTTCTAAAAATAATCTATGTTAATAACAAATACTAAAAAGTTATTCCACAAGGCCTTCCTCAAGCACTCTAACTTTTAAGAGACTACAAAAAACGTGGAACAGAATTTTAGCACAAAATTCGGTTCCGTAAAACGCGATACTCACGTACCTACTCACATGGCCCTTACATGATACATAAGAAGATTATAATTGGAAAATATTTGCTTTCATTCATTACCAACTGTATAATTGGAATGATTGGTGCTAATGCAGTTTTTCCCCCCTCCCTTTTTTTTAAAAAATTGTTATTGTTGATTATGATAGAAAATTATATGCTGATTAATAATTGTATAAAACTTAGGTCTGAAAATCAACAGTGCTCTAATTTAATGTTAAAGTTTAAAAAATTACACTAAAAAACACTAATGTTTACCATCTTTTTCATACTCGGTTATAATTAAGTTTCTTTTAAAAAATAACTTTATTTAAGCCTGGTTTCTATCAAGAATTTAAAGCAAAAATGTTTGAAAATGCATAACTCATTAATTTCTGATTGATCTCTGGCCCTAACCCTGTCCCAAACCATGTACATGCCAATGCGCCAATCCCTATTTGTCAGTCAGGCTTTCACAGTAAGGAGTGTGATTTCACGTCTTTATATGACCATGCAAAAAATAATATGTTTTAACGATTTGATCACAGCTTTTCAAAATTTAAAAATGCGCTACAAAAACTAAAAAAAATCTAAAAAAAAAAACAAAATCTAAAAAAAAATTGTAAAAAGAACAAAAAAAACAATAACCCTCAAATTGAGAACCCTCCTCATGTCTAGAAGTTAGTTATCTCAAGCATCAAAAAAATGATTCCCCCCCCCCCCCCCCCTGAAAATTGTCTGTAAAACAGTATCCTAATTTTCATCCTAATATTCCAAATACTAAATACATGTATTTTAGCTTTTTGAATTTGTGTTGCTTGACAAATACTTGCAATAATTGTTTTTTAAATTTGTTTTGTTTTTAAATATATAACATTAATTTTAAATAATATTAATTTTTTAATTCTGGTCTTTACAAAAATTACAAATTTCTGTAGAGAAAAGTTTTCTACAAAAATTACAAATTTCTGAATAAATATGTAAAGTGCTTTTTTTTCTTATAGTTGAAACTTTTAGAAATCTTTGCAATAATTTAATGTCATTGCAATGACATTAAATTATTGCAATGTCATTTCTTTCACGTCTTTGCAATTGTTTAATGTCTTTGCAATTGTTTCACGTCTTTGCAATTGTTTTATGTCTTTGCAATTGTTTCACGTCTTTGCAATTGTTTAATGTCTTTGCAATTGTTTCACGTCTTTGCAATTGTTTAATGTACTCGCAATAGTTTGATGATGACAATCTTTTTCTCATAAAGGTTATGTAAATTACAGTAACCTAGAAGTAGCAGAGCGAGCAGCTGATCAAATGAATAATGTTGAAATATGTGGAAAGAAAATAAAAACAAAAGGTCCCCACGATCAACCAATCAAATCATCTATTTCATCAGAAAGAAAATTAGAAATTATAAACTTAACAGACTGCTACTATTTTACCCAATTTGGTAAATGTGAAGTGAACACAGGAAAGGTTTAATAATATTTTGTTAATAGAACTATATGTGATCAGAAATATTTTTTTAACTTTTTTTCAATTTTCTTTCTAGACCTGTCAGTATCGTCACTTTGATTTATTACAAAAAACAAAAGAAGTTTGCCCTAATTGGGGTAACAAAAGTTGCACTAATCTGAAATGTCCTAAATTGCACCCTAGTCAAAGGCAGTATAAAGGTATTATGAATGCAAGTTTTTTTTGTTGATTTAAATTTTTTTATTTGACTTGAAGTCAATTTTAGACAATTATTTCTTTCAAAGTCATTATTTCTTCAATCACTTCATTCATTTTTTTAAAACTATTAAGTCAGTTCAAAATGAGTGTCTTTGAAATATATATATATATATATATATATATATATATATATATATATATATATATATATATATATATATATATATATATATATATATATATATTTCAATACTGTTACAAAAGCACCAAAAACAATATTGGTTTTCAGCCAATTGTAAATGTAAACACTATTTTAAGGTACATTTCAAAATAAGGGCTTATAGCACCTGTAAGTTATACTCTAAGTATACATATATATATATATATATATATATATATATATATATATATATATATATATATATATATATATATATATATATATATATATATATATATATGTATTTTAATACTATTACAAAAGCACTAAAAACAATATTTGTAAAAAGCAAAAATAATAGTTTTAAAAATTATTTATAACATATTCAAGAGGTAAAAAAAGTTACAAAAGTTACTTTCTCGGTAAAATTCACGCTTTCCATATTTCATTTTTTCCCTACAAATTAATGAAGAATGTCAGGCAGCAAAGAGACAGCACTTTCTCTGCAAAATTTACGGTTTCCTTATTTTATTTTTCCATTCAAATTAACGGAAAAATTCCGTTAATTCAGCAAATAGACAGTTACTTAACTCATTTTACAGAGTTTACGCAAAAATCAAAAATAAATGAATAGAGTTTATATGTTGTTATAAAAATGTAATTCGACTATTAAGAAACTACTCTTATTTTAAATGATTAAAAATTATAATATAATACACATTAAGTAATAAGAGTTACAAATTGTATTATATTATAGTAGTTATATATATTATTTTATATATTATATAATATTTATGATATAATATTTATGATAACAAATAATATTTTATTATGACAAACTATACTATATTATAAAAGTTAAATATATTGTATTATAATAGTTGTAATAAACATAAATAAAAGGCCTTTTGATCTATTGATACTCTGTCCACTCAAATAGCGCTAGTTTGTTTACAAAACTCAAAACCTTTGGGTGAGGTCTGACATGCTTTTTTTTGACTGCTTTTTTACCAGTTTTTTTTCGATTTAATTTCCTTTCTCAGGAGTCATTTTTGCGATACATATAAATGACAATTAAATCATATTAATAAATCATTATTTACAGTAAGAAAAAAAAAAAAAAGTAATGTTCAAAAGTTGTATGTAGAGCAAGCATGTCGAGCATGCAGTAACATGCTCGATATGCTTAACCAGGATGTAGTGATATAGAAGAATTGCAGGCATATGAAACAGCTATGTATTTTTATAAACAAGTATGAAAGTATTTCATCACAAATGACCCTTATCATTATACTTTTGTGTTTTTCCTGGCAAAAGACGAGCACACCTGAGAAAAACTTTCAATAGCAGTTACAATAGCAGTTACAATAAAAGTTACAATTGAAATTAATCAATATATGTATATATATATATATAAATTCAAATAAATAATTAAATAATAATTTAACAATTATTAACATCAAAATTTCAATTCTACAGATAACTTTGTCAAAAATCACATTTTTAAATGATTTAAATATAGATCAGATAACTAGAATAAATGTTTATAAATAAATAAGTGAGTTTTTTTAAACTGCACTACAAAAAAATAAATACAAAAATACATCTAACATACTATTTTATTTAATATATTCCTTCTTTCCATGCGTTTATCCTCCATGTGGTTTATCCTCTTAATAATTGTCATATAGAGGCTTCAGGCCTTGCGATAAAGCGTCGGGCGATGTGAATTTTACATCGTCTAAGAGCGATTTTGCGTGTAGCTAGGGCTATTTGCGTCGAGCAAAAAATTTTTTGATTGAGTATATTTAAAGATATTTTTGAGCGGAATTTTAATGAAGTAATTTACGATTATTTTAACATTTAATAAAGTATTTTAAAAACCGCACGCAGTTGATATAAAAGTTTGAATTACAAAAAAATTAAATATGCTCATTATTTACAAGTAGAAAAAATTCAGATTAAAAAAAAAGTTTAAATCTTTTTAAGCTAACATATTAGTAAAATTATTCAGCAATAGCAAAGTTGTCGATAAAATTGTACAGTACAGTTATTAAAATTTTTGTAAAAAGTACAGTTATTAAAATTTTTGTAAAAAGTAACTCAAAAAAAATTACTTAATTAATAACAATCACTTTTTTGTTAAAATTACCGAAACTCAACAAAGCGTGCTCAAAGAACAGCTGCTGAAAAGTAGAACGTCAATAGTTTGATAAGTTTATATAACCTGGTTTTGTTACCTGGTTTCTACCGATGTAAAGCGAATTTCCAAAAACACCCTAAAAAAGGGCTCAATAAACCTAAAAAATAAAATAAAAATTAATTTGCAACCTGTAATCATAAGCCATTTATTTATAAAATAAAATTAATTCTCATATTTAACCACGCAATGTTTTCTTTGTTTTATTTTAGCGCACTTTTCATTAAATATTGTTCAATATGCAAATTTTATTGCTGAAATATGTTTTTTATACCTATAAGTAAGTGTGTAAAAATTTTAAACTATTTTTATTAATGATTATTATATATCATTAAAAAGAGGCTAAAATCAGCATTACAATAATGAAAATTTCATAACAGAACAACAATTCTACAAAAAGTTATGCTCATTTAAGTAACAAAATTTGATTACAAGGATTGCTTAAAAAAACTGCGACCAATTTTAAATTATCAGTTTCGGCTAATGGTAGTTTTTTTATGGAACTTTGTTGATAGAAGCGCAATATTTTGCTTTATTTACAATATTTTAACTTAGGTACATATTCTCCTACAAAAAATTAGTTGTCTGCTACATAAGCTTTTTCGATAAAATTTGGCATGTACCTAGAAAATAAGTTTTTAAATTTTTCTCAAAAATTTCAAAAATGTTCTCAACATTCTTTCAATATTAATTTGACGTGTGATCTACAACGAAGTTTTTAAGAAAAGTAAATTCAATAAAAGCGGTTGTAACTTCAAAAAAAAACTATCCAAAGAAGAGGTTTAACTCTTCCACTTTTCAAAAAAATCTATGCTGATATAAAATCCTAAAAATTAACACAACAAAATACATTCTTATAGCTCAAACGCTAAGCATGCTTTGATAAAATAGTCGAAGATTTTGATTACATAATCGGTGCCATAACTCATTGGATACGCACGTAACTACTATAAGATTTTTATTCTAGCATTTTATTTTATTTTATTTTACTAGAAATAAAATTCCTTGTAAACATTAAAAATCTATTCAAAATGTTCATTAAGTTTTTTAGTAATACGAGTGTTCGTTAAGTTTTTTAAGTTTTAAGTTCGTTAAGTTTTCAAAACGTTCGTTAAGTTTTTTAGTAATACGAGTGATTGTGCTTATCAACCGCTTTATGAAAATAAATAACAATAAATAAATAAAAAAATATTATACAAAATCGCTGGTAAAAATACTAGCTATTGCACAGTTTTTAATCGTACATTATAAAAATTTCCAGTTTATTACTCGCTGACTTTTTAAAAAGAAAAAATAATTATTTGAAAAACTTTAAATTACATATTAAAAAAAATCAAATATTAGCATATTTTATAATTTTTTTTAAATGTTTAGTTATAATGTTTTTTATTCGTTTAGTATAGACAAAACGTGTCAAAGGTCAAGAAAATAAACAATTGTTTTTACATTTTAAAAAACGAAACATTCCCAAACTTTTTGAAATAATAACATTTTCTACATTAATGATTTAAAGTAGTTTTGCAGTAATTAAGTAAATTGGTGCAGTTAATGTCAATAAATATGAAAAGCAAATAAAAAGAATTTAATGACGTCAAAAATCACGTCGTGCTTATGCGTCACACAGTTTTTATTCATCACAAGACCTGAGGCTTCATACCAAGGCCCATGAAGATGAGTTCAGCTCACTAATCATCGTAACCTCTTTACAGACCGAGGGTAAGTGGTTTTTAGAAGAATGAAGGATATTAAAGAAAAAGTTATAAGTCAATTTAGAAAGTTGGCATAGAGACAGCAGACAGATAAACCCTATATAATATAGGAAACCAATTTTTAGAAGTACCTATCTTTAATAAATATCTATATCTATTTATAACAGCATCCTTAATCAGCACCTTTATTATAGAAGATTTTTTGTGAATGCACTTTTATAAAAACATACAGCATGTTAGCTCCAGTAAAAACAAATATAAATATATTAAAATTTCTAACTTGAAATTATATGGGTTTATAATTTCTCCTCATTAAAAAGAACTATGGCGCTCTGTAAATGAGAAGCTATACTAAAGTATACGGTTAAAGTTCGTAATTTAAAGTTATGGAACTTCTCCTTATCATAAATATGGACAAAATCATATAAATGATGTGATAATTTCAAAAGTCTTAAAAGTATAGGTAAAAGACTGTAATTTATTGAAAACAGATTTTTTCCGTGACAAAACAATGGAAAAAGTCTGGGTTTTTCTACAGTGTATATATATATATATATATAAATATATATACACTGTAGAAAAAAATATATATATAAATATATATATATATATATATATATATATATATATATATATATATATATATATATATATATATATATATATATATATATATATATATTAAAAAAATTTAAGTAAAATAAAAATTATTTTGGATAAAAAAAGAACTTAAAAAATTAATCAAATTGAAAAAAATCTTTAGATTTCTTGTGAATGAATACAGAATATTTACAATATAGTCAAAACTGAATCAAGAAAGGGTAAACAAAATTATGAAAAATACTTAATGATATCAGCTTATCTATCCAAAGTTAATTAAAAAACATGTGAATACCCAACAATCGATCAATATTTTAATTAAAGCATTACACAATGATAATGGAGTTATGAAAAACGACCCAAATTAGATAGTAATTTTTGTTCAAGAAAATTATGTTAATTTGCCAATGTTTGCGTCTGTAATATTTGTTGCAGATTAGAAATTTAAATATTGAGAAGTGAAGTGGATCCTATCAAACTTTAAAATTTAAAAAATATAAAAATATATATATATATATATATAATATAAAAAATATAGATTTTATCCCTTGCATACATATTCACAGCTTCCATTGAGCTTAGTGAACCTATTCATTAGAAATCATCCAATTTAAAAATGCTCCGATATTAAAAAAAGGAAATAAACTGTTGTAGTTAAACTATTGCTTTATTTCTGTAAAATTTTTAATTAAGAGTTTCCTTAATGTAAATAATCTTCTTTTGGCACATCAACATGGCTTTGTTAAGAAAAGATCTTGTACAACCAATCTTATTGAGACAGTATACATGGTTTTGTATTATTTGTCTTGGGATATATCTGTAGACAAAATTTACTTGGACTATGCAAAGGCATTTGATTCTGTATTAACATTTAATTTGTAAAACTAAAATGTTATGGGATTTCTGGGATTACTGAAATGGGTTGAAACATTTTTTAAAAATAGAAGGCTTTATTATTTACATTAATGCTTTGTTTGATAACTTTATAAATATTTTAAAGATGTATGCTGATGATGCAAAAGTATTATCAATAATAAATATATAAAATATACCTTTATGTACCACTGTCACTGAAAAAAATCTTGGTGCAGTATTTAACTCTGACTTAAAATGGGCTTTATGTGAATCAAATGACTTTCTGTGCAAGTGAATCAAATGAGTTTCTGTGCAAGTGAATCAAATGACTTTCTGTGCTAGTGAATCAAATGACTTTATGTGCAAGTGAATCAAATTTATGTGCAAGTGAATCAAATGACTTTCTGTGCAAGTGAAGCAAATGACTTTATGTGCAAGGGAATCAAATGACTTTATGTTCAAGTGAAGCAAATGATTTTCTGTGCAAGTGAAGTAAATGACTTTATGTGCAAGTGACGCAAATGACTTTATGTGCAAGTGAATCAAATGACTTTATGTGTAAGTTAAGCAAAAAAATTTTGGGGGTATAATAAAGATTACATTTCTAGGTTTCAACAATGAATTGTTAAAAAATATATGTATAACTGTTTTTAACTTACTAATTTTTATTTTATGTAATTATTATAGAATTTAAATTAAACTATAATTTGTATAACTTATTTTAAATTCTATAATAATTTTGTATTATTATAGAATTAAAATTAAAATATGTCTGATGCTAGTCAAAGAAGAAATCCAATTTAAAATGGTTTCAAAAGATACCTGGCCAGTTACAAAAAAAAGGGTAGTAAAGATAAATGCAAAGTGTGCATGACTTTATAGTTTGAATGCAAAGAACAGAAGTGTTTGTGAATATAATTTTTAAACATGTTCTAGATGATAGAAGATTCACTATTATTGAAACATTATATAAAATATCAACCAAAGGAGCAACTGAATCTAGTCCGTGAATCCTGAGTCTAGTCCGTATACTGTAAAGGAAGCAAATTTTTCATGTTTGTATAAAACGCAGTGGCAACAGTAAGCAGTGTTAAATCAGTGACAGTTGTATTAGATTAAATTTTTATCTTATCAAAATCACTAAAAGAAAAAGAAGCAATGATGAGCAATGGATAGGAAGAATGATTTATACTCCTAACTTATTTTTCAGAGCTTATCAAAATAATCAATTTTTTATTTTTAAGACATAGACATCTTTAGTTCCCAATTGTTACCTCATTTTTGAAATGTTTCTTGCATTATCATTAACTACACTGCAAATATTACAACTAAATTGTTTTTCGCATTTATTTATAGAATTAACAACTACATAAACCAAATAGTCAGAAATATGCGAATGAGCAGATGTATTAATTGTATATGCAAGATAAATATTTGATTTTTAGTTGCTGTTATGTTTCACAAGCAAGTTTGTGCAACAATATTCAAAAATAAAAATAATCAAGTTGCTATTTCCATTGGAACTGATACAGATTGACAGTTGTCAATCTGTATCAGATCTTATATCAGCCTTTAGAAGAAATTAACTATGTCTTACATGATCTTTTTTAGGCAGCCTATCTTGTTAGACTTGGACAGACTCGTGATACAGCAATTTGTTTAAAGATATTGGCAGTTTCTTGGAAAAAATTAAGAGCTTGCGGCTTATAATGAAAAAACTTCAAATAGCCAATAATATTGTGTCAGCATATTGCAGATAAACTGACAATGTAAATATCATGTTTCAAAGGACATTTAAATCCACCATTCTTTCTTGAGTTAACACTGTTGTTGTCCACACAGGAAAAAGTACCAATTGGAGCTTCAATATTTAAATTAAATTCATGATGTTTACTACTCTTTTTGTTGTTACAGCCAATTTACTGATTTACTAGTAAAACGCTCACTGATCATTCTTTTTAACAATACATAAATAGTCAACTATTTGGTGTAGCAGACATCTTTGTAAAATAATATTAAAGATTATCTTTTAATAGGACGTTTTTGTGGAAAAATAACAGAGATCAATAATTTGCATTTTTAGGGTAGAAAAAGATAAATAGGTTTAAAACACCCTACCACCACACTTGCTAGTGAGGGTTGAATTACTTGATAGGCTTAACCAATTTCTGGAAAAAAGTGATAATGAAACAGTTGATTTTTTTTATTTCTGATGGTAAGTCTGTATTTTTTAGTATCCCCAATACATTAGTTTACCATTTAATAGCGTACAATTACATGCTTTTCTTGACCACACATACAATATTTTTTCTTTGAGAACTTGACTGTTAGTATTTTTTAAGATGATTTACTTTTTATAATAATATTTTAATCCTTTAAAATAATTTTTTTTGAATGGTTTTTTAAATAACTGCAACTTAAAACAATGACTTTGTCTTTAATGAACTTTTTGAAAGATTCATTAAAGTTTTATTAGTCAAAAAAATAAAAAAATTTTTGAAACAAAGAACAAGTTAAAATAATTTAATTGTTTTTTTTTTCTTTTTTTTGTAATACTAAAAAGAATGGTTTAAAATCTTCTTAAAATTATATTAAGTAAGTTGTTACTTTATATAAAAGCATATCAATTAATATTGTATAAATGGTAGAAAAGATTTAAATATTAACTATTAGATTAAATGGTAGAAGTTTTTAAATTAGTTTACAAAAGGCAAATAAAAGCAAAAGATTATTCTCTTTTAGAGTTAGTTTTATTTGTTATTTTAATTTTCTCTTTAAATGTTAAGATTTTTTTTTTTAGTTTGGCTTTTTTTTCTTTTTTCTTCTCTCTAGCAAAGTTTAGCGTGGTTTTTTAGCACATATTTCAAAAGATATTGAAACATAAAGTGCTGTGGTCAAAAAAACATTTACATTCATGGCCTGGAATAACATGACCAAGACTGCAGTCTTGGAACCTATTAATTTTTGGCTTGGGGTCTCTTGTTGTTACATGAAATTTTGAAATCTTGAAGTTTAAAATTGAGAGTTTCTATACCTAAATGTCCTGATTTTTTTCCACATAATTTGTAAGTTTTTCAATATTTTGGTAGCTCATGAGCACCATTGTTTAGGAATAATTAGTAATTTTTTATCTTTCATAATTGAAGTCCTTTACAGAACTTTCTACTCCTGTTTATATACATTTGATATACACTTAATAACATATTATGTTCAACAAAAAATGTGTTGAACGAAGTTAAAAAAAAAAATGCAACTATTGCAATCAAAATTTATAAAGCAAGAAATCGAATAATCCATCATAAAGCTACACAAGAAATCAAATAATCCAATATAAATCAAATAATCGACATTAACATCACGAACAAGTAAAGTCAACCAGAATTATTATAAGCAAAACCAACATAAATATGTTTGAAATAAAAAAAAAATTGTTATGAAAGTTTAGTTTTTGCAACAACAAAACACTTTTTGTATTTCAAATAATTTTTTTACGTACTATGTCATTTCTATTATCATATTTATCATGCGTATTTTTCAACAAGAATATATAATTGTTATTATCAACAAGAATAATTAACTGTATGTTAAACTTTTTTTCTTTTGCATTTTAGAAAACAGTAATAATTCTGAAATGGTTTTGGAACGTTGTAAATCTCACAATGCATTTAAATGCTATGGTCAGTGTGGCAAAACTGATTGTGATATTCATTTTAATGATGAGCGAAAACTCTACGATCATATAACCGAGGGAAAAAGCTCGTTATTACCCTGCAAAATAGTAATAAACGATATATAATAAAAAATATATAAATAATAATATAAACAGCCCTCGGAATTAGAAATATTGAGGTTGGCAATTTTTTGCCGACCTCTAAAGGTCGGCAAAATAAATTTGATACAAAAGGGTTACCATAAAACATAGAAACGAGGTCGGCAGTTATTCGCCGACCTCAAACACTTTAAGGTTGGCAGTTAGGTCTGCATTGCGGAATGCTGAACCTAATTCTGAGGGTTGAATATAAATTATATATACATATATATATATATATATATATATATATATATATATATATATATATATATATATATATATATATATATATATATATATATATATATATATATATATATATATATATATATATGTTTATATATATATATATATATGTTTATATATTATGAATGGGATAATTGCAAACCCAACTTTATTAAAATGGAGTTTTGTTATAAAACAAAATTAATTGAATAAAAAAATATTGCAATTTTAAAGTACAATTTAAAGTAAAATGGGTCAAAAAGCGCTATGTAATATGATTTAAATGATTGATGGCGTTTTTGTGTTTTAACTCGATATAATTCGAGATGAAATTTGCCTTGAAATTTGCCTCAAGTGAAGTTGAACTTTTTATTGGCAACCACTTAAGTAATTTGAACAAATAAAAATAAACTTGAATACTTCATACAAATTAAGCTGAGGGAGTTTTTAACAAATAACTTAAGCCGAAACAATCAATCATTTGACCTTTGTTTATGGCGTAGTTTTAAATAAATTTTACACTTTAAAAAAATTTTTTTTAATTAATTCATATTCTTCAAGAGCATCCAAATGTTGTTGGTACTTCGAGTTTTTCAATTTTTTAGTTCCCCTTCCCCAAGAGCTTGTTAAGACTCTTCCTTTTATTATCTTTGAAGAAATGTAAATTAGTTTTGCAGTTACTTTAAAGGGATCCCCAAGTTCCAAGACAAGAAAGTGTACAACCTACCTTTCTCATGTATCAAGTTTACTACAGGCTTGAACCGTTCAAGTTAAACATAGACTATTTTTAAACTAATGAATTAGACTGTATTGTATCAATTAAGTGAAACTAAACAAAAATTAAACTTAAAAAATGAATATTTCCACCAAACCATATAAAACAAATTAAATTAAAACAAATATTTCCAATAAACCATGGAAATTAAATTTATAAATAAATATGCACTAAATATAAAACAAACAACTGGACTACACTGTAAACAATTTAAATATAAAAACAACCTAGAATGAACAATCTCAATAAACTGCAGGGGTGTGGAGTCGTTAAAAAAAAGTACCAATTCCAACTCCAATAGTTGAAATTTTCAGAGTACGACTCGGACTCCAACTTCAACTTGGACTCCAACTCCAATTTCAAAGAAATTTTTTTTTTTTTTAATATTTGAAAATTTTTTCAAATTCTTTAAAAAATATTTCGCGATAATTCAAAAAATTTTTTTTGCCAAATATATTAAAAATTCTTTAAAAGTTAAATGTTTTGTACATGCATGTGCAAAAAAGAGAAGTTTTACTATATGAGTCGGAGTTGCAATTTTGTTTAGCGACTTCGACTCCGCTTACAACAGGCTTCGACTCCGACCTACAACAGGCTTGGTCGGGAATACTGACCGCTCTCGAATACTGACCACGGAAATTATATTTAGTTGCGTTAAACTGGCCAGGTTTTTTAGACTTTTACGAAACGAAAAATTTTTGTTTTACGGACATACATGGAAACATAAAAAACTTGAATGTTCTCAAAACGTCTTTGTGCAAAAGAATAAAAAGAATATTTGCGAACACTAAAAACCCGCCAAATTAACAAACAAACCAATTCTATTGGTTCAAAAAATACGCTGATTAATTGAAATAAATTTCTAGAGCATTCTGTTAAAATGTTTTAGAAATTGTATTATTCACGATTCGTTACGTTTTGAGATTTTTAGCATTGTTTTAGGAATATATATTATTTGTTTACGAAAATAAATGTTTTAAATATATATTAATTAAATTGTTAAAATTTTAAAAGTTTATTATAAATCATAGATTTTATTAGTATATTCTTATTTTTTATTTTAAAAGAGATTGTTCTCTTTATGTAAATGTAATTTTGTGTATTTGTTTTTTATCGTAATGTATCTTTTAAAGCAATTTTTATGATTTAAACAAAGACTTACAAAAATAATTGCGTTTTCAATGAAGATATTATCGTTAAAGTTAATAAAACTAATTATGTAACGAACATAAGAAGAACATAAGAAGTTTCTGGTTACTAAACACAAACAACGCATACGAAGTAACTCGCGGATGAACAGGCATCGCGCCTGAGGTCACGACAGAACACGAATATATATAGCAAATAATTAGATATAAAGAAAAGTTTCTAGATATTGGTTTACTAACTCTAATTTTTTTTGCTTAAGTTGCCATTCTTTAAACTCGTTATACTTTTTTCTGCTTTAAATACTAATTGAAATTAAAAAGCCCACTCACTAAACATCATCAGCGATATTGTGAAGCAGTTTCGCTTCCTGGTCATTAAGTATTTTTAACCTTTTTAGTTGATTTCTATCTTGATAATTTAATTCTTATAGTAATTCAATGATTTAATTATTTCATTTGTTTATCTTACTAAGAAGAATTGTTTCAAATGTTTAACTTTTTAAACTACGCGAAAAATAAAATAGGTATTAAAAGAATTAACTTTTTTATTTATATAATAAATTAAGCTTAAGTAAAACTAAAACCTGCAAACTTAGTTAAATAAAAAATATTTGTTTCCCTTTTAAACAATCGTAAGTTGTTACTTTATATAAAAAACATCGCTTAATTTTATAAAAAAAATTATAAAAGAGCGATGTTTCAAAAATATTTGTTCTAAATGTAATTTATTTAGCTTTAAATTTTTTCGCGTTTAAAGATATTTTATTTGCCTTTTTTTTTTTTTTTTCTAATTGTCTCTCATCGATGCAATTAATTTTCGTCGCTTTTTTTTTTTGCTTTTTAAAATGTTCTCAAAATGATATAAAAATCTGGCCAGCTTTTCGCAACTAAATATTATTTACGTGGTCAGCAATCAAGAGCGATCGCTCCCGCTTCCCGACCAAGCCTGCGCTACAATTGTTGCGACTCCAACTCTACAATTCCGACTACACAGCCCCGATAAAGTGAATGAATTAAAATAAATATAAACTAAAAAAATAATGAGTTTAAAGCTTCACTAGACCATAAAATATGAATTTAATATATAACGGTATTTGCAGTAAACCGTACTGGTTTAAACTAAATACTAAAAAAATAGTTACTAAAACATATAAATTAACTTAAAGTACTTTGTATAAATTAATTTAAACTTAATAAAAATGAGTGACTTTTTTTTTTTTTTTTTTATCTTCGCTTCCAACAAGGCTGCAAGCAACCACTAATTAGTGTTGGAAGTTGCTGGAAGAGAAGATTGTAGAGCAAGATAACGATTGACAGACGACTTAAAAGATTGCAAATTATATTAATCAGGAAAGCAAGATGAAGGAAGCGAATTCCAAAGAACTGATGTTCGAGGAAAAAAACTAGACGAATAAGAGTTTTTGGAGCACTTAGGAACTAATTTTGCAACGGGTTTGATATAAGGTTCCAAGAAAAATCAGAAGTAAAAGTTAATCCTAGAAGATGAAGGGTAGGAGACTTATCAAGTACATTACCGTTCATAAATATAGGAAGATCTAAACTATTGTGATAATGATTGGCCTAAAAAAATTGGGTTTTATCTGAATTAAAGTTTACCAGCCACTGTGAGCCCCATGCTGTAGCAGAAGTGAGATCCTTTTCAAGCTCAGATGCCCCCTGCAAGCAATCGGAGGGAGTTGGCTTCTTATCGTGACAAGAATAAATGGTAGTATCATCAGCGAACAATGGCACCTTAGATGTGAGAATATCTGGAAGCTCGTTAATGTAAATTAAAAAGAGTATAGGGCCAAGGATTGAACCTTGGGGAACTCCCTGAGGTTACAGAATAAGAAGAAGAGTGCTGTCCATCAAGGACAACTTTTATACTACGATTGGAAAGGAAGGATTCAATAATCTTAAAGATGTTTCCAGATACACCGTAAAAAGAAAGCTTATGGAGAAGACCAGCATGCCAAACTTTATCAAACGCTTTAGAAATGTCGAGAGCAATGGCCTTAACCTCTCCACCTTTACCTAATGCGCGATAAAACCTATCGGTTATTACTGATAGCAAATCAGCTGTAGAGCGAGAAGATCGAAATCCATATTGATGATCAAAAAGTAGGTTATGAGATTCGAGATGAGAGATTAAGTGTTTGTTAATTAAAGATTCAAAAACCTTGCTTATGATAGGAAGAAGACTAATGGAATGGTAGTTAGACGAATCGAATCGCTCTCCAGAATTTTTAAAAATAGGGATAACAGAAGCTGCTTTCCAGCAGGCTGGAAAACAAGACTCTGATAAGCACTTGTTAAATAGTTTTGAAAGGATAGATGACAGCTCCGGAGAACACTTCTGCAAGACTATAACAGGTATGTTATCCGGGCTACAAGCTGTAGAAGAGTCTAAGGGGGAAATCACTTTAGATACAGAAGCTGGAGTGATACGAATGTCGAGCAATGGATCAATCTGTTTGGCGGCTATATCAGGTAGAACGCAACTAGTGGCATCAAGAGATGATATTGATGAAAAGTTCTTGGCAAACAATTCAGCTTTGTCTTTAGGTGAGGTGACAAAGTCCGAACCATACAAAAGAGGTGGAATTACAGACTTGCCCTTATTATTGATACTATTAAAGATTCTCCAGAAGTCACGAGAGCCTAATTTTTGTGATGAAATACAAGATTTCATGATCTGAGAATAGCGGGCTTTGGCATTAGACAAAACCTTTTTACAATGGTTCCTAGCAGTAATAAACAGACGTCTGTTTTCTAGAGAGATGTTTTGCTGATAGATATGGAAGTAATGGTTTCGATTGGCAATTGCAGCAGCACAATGTGAGGAAAACCATGGAGAAGAGTGAGGCTTGACCTGGAATCGTTGAGAGGGAATAAAGGATTCCATGCCAGCCTGAATCCACGAAGTTATGTAAGAAGCACATTTGTCAACAGGGAGATGAAAGATTTCTACCCAGGGGCCATCACGAAGAAAATCACGGAAAGAGTCCCAGTCAGCTTTAAGGTAGTTGTAAGATGTACGATGATAAGGGGATTCTGATGGTAAAGAAGAATGAGATAATAGTTTTAGAGAGACCAAACCATGATCAGAAGCATCTAAGAGTGAGTGTGAAGAAACTGAGCACTGACTAGGATCAGAAACAAGACATAAGTCGAGTAGAGAAGGTAAATGATTTGGGTTGTCTGGAAAGCAAGTTGGAAAGTTGACTATTTGAGTTAGGGATTGAGAAAGACAAAAGTTGTGGGCCTTAATGCCTGCAGAGTCACTGACACTAGAGCCAAGCCATTCAGTGTGATGAGCATTAAAGTCACCGACAGCAACAATGTTGGCTGTTGGATAAAGAATGAGGGCTTGGTCAATATAATCAGAAATAATATCAAGAAAAGTGCAGTCTTGAGATGAGGGAGAGCGATATAGAACAAAGAGAAAGGTGATAGAGTGAAGTGGTGCTAAACATAAGCACATAAAAGAGTAGTCTGTGGATTCAAACCTAGTTTCCCGACAAATGGGTGAATTCTTACGAATGTAAATGCCCAGGCCAAGCATGTGACTATTGGAGTCTTTACGAATTAAAGGAAGATAACCATCAACACTAAGATCACAAGTTGAGACAGCTGAACTCAAATTAGTCTCACAAAGAGCAAGTAGGTCTGGTGAACTTTGCAAGAGATAACACTCAACAGAAGAAATATTACTTCAAAGACCACGAATATTGGTGAATGATAGGTTTAGCGAACTTGGTGATGACTGTGGTTTTTTGTGTTTTATAGTTTTTGTTACTTTATTCATTTTTAAATTTGTTAAAAAATTTGACTTAAAGCATAGATAGTACTCAGTACACTGCTTTATAGCTCAAGCAATTGCCTCATTTCCACTAATAAACCCTAAGCCGTAACAAAGGGCTCCAATGTGGCCTTGGCAATGCACACCAAAAGTACAAACAGGGACACCATTCATGCGTAACATGGTACTGTTAGTACTCTGATATTTTTCAGCTGTTGATGGAATCAGCCTCTCTGAGAGCTACCACAGAGTTCGGGAAACCTGACTACCAGCTGTATCATGATTTTGGCTGGCTTCTAAAACAAAATAAATATAAAGCAAGAAAAAATTTATTTAGTAACTAGACGGATATACCGTTCCCACTTTCGTCTCTTAATTACCTGCTATAACACTGAACATCTGTTCAAAATATTCTATAAATAAGAAATATAACATTCTATAATACTGGTACAAAAGTCATGTGTTCAAGAAAAAATGTCTATTTAAAAAAATCTAAACAGATATATGAAAGATACAATAATTTAAAAATCATCCTGATGGTTCTTAAAAACAAGTGGCGCTAATAAAATCTAAAAATGAAATATATAACTTTATTTTTAATTGTATCACAAATATTATTTGGGATTTAGTAATAATTTATACAAATATTTGATTTGCTGATTGTAGGAAAAAAATACTTATATCTTTGATAAAAAAAAAATATCTTGAAAAAAAAAATTCGTCATACACCTAAACTGTTATGAATTAAATACGCATGAAATAAATTATCAAGTCTGCAGATTGTGACTAACATTATACAGACTCAGAGAACCAAAAAATATGGAGACGGTAAGCTTCGGCTAAAATGTTAAGTTTAATTTTGTTTGTATGCATTTATAATTTAGTTTTAATCAAAAAAATTTAGCACAAATGTTTTTTTTAAACATTTTCTTTAATATGAACACAACTTGTCTCGGCAATTGAGGAGTTATTTAAGAAATTATTTTTTTCTGTCCTAAAATGTGTTAACTCAAATGTGAAAACTAATTTATAACGTAAAAATGTTAAAACATAAGTCCCCATTATAGATAAAAATTTATAAAACCAACTAGAACTAGTTCCGATGTGATGGTGAAATGATAACAAGTTTATCAATAAAATGCAATTTCAAAATTTTTTGAAATTGCATTTTATTGATAAACTTGTTATCATTTCACCATCAAATCTTTCAAATGTTCAAAAAAATCATCAATCTTTTAATCTTGCATAAGTCTTGAAATGTATTGCAGCAATAATAATGTTAGTGGTGTACACTGGTGGTCGCTCGATGGAAAATGCCACCCAAATCTTTTAAAGGGCTACTGAAAATGTTTTGATGGAATTGAGTTATCTGGCCGGGCGACTATTTAAATTGGTTCATTTTTCAACCTATTATTTAAATTTAAGTTACTCATTATTTAAACAGATTTTTTTTGCCACAGTTTACATTTCTACATTTAGCAATGTTTTTGCCGCCAAAGGTAACTTTGTTCTTTTGTTTTCGAAAGACTTTTTATCAACAAAATATCTTTTGATAATTACTTTTTAATCTAACGTAACAGTAAAGCAACATTTTAAAAATTTAAAAATTTGTTTGAAAGCTTTTTATCTTTCAATTATCATTCATTCAAAGTTTAATTCAAAAAAAAACTTTTCTTTCTCTCTTTAAAATGAGCGAGTACCCAATAAAAATACGAAGATGTTTAAAATGCTAGTTTGAATGTTTTAAAAAAACTTTTTTTAAAAGTCCTTTAAGTCGCAATTTCATTCAATCAAAGTTTAATTACATAAAACATGACAAAAATAAAAATACCAAGACGTTTTAAATGCTGCTTTATAAATACATCAATAGTTTTCTTACAATAAGTATAACATATCATAATTGCTGAAGTTTATTATAAATTAAATTAGGAAAATAAAAATTAAAAAATGTATATTTTTTATAAAAATATATAATCTTTTTTATAATTTTATATTCATCAAACATAAAAATTTAATTTTGTTCCTAATAAAAACACACACTTAAGAAAATTCATTTAAGACATACTTAGAACATAAAGAAAACTTTATTTTGTTCATGATAACAGCCAACTCAAAATATTGGTGGGCAACCAAGATTAGCTAAATTATTACTCTCAGTACCTGCCGGATAACCGACCAAAATCCAAGTGTACACCACTGAATGTCTAATGACAATGCGATAGGACACTTTTTATTTATCAGCATCATAAAAACAAATGCGATACCATTTTAGATATGTTTGGGTATTGAAGTTGCTATTGGCATGTTTGCAATTATCCCATTCTATATATATATATATATATATATATATATATATATATATATATATATATATATATATATATATATATATATATATATATATATATATATATATATATATATATATATATATATATATATATATATATATATTTATATATATATATATATTTATTTATATATATATATATATATATTATATATATATATATATTTATTTATATTATATATATATATATATATATATATATATATATATATATATATATATATATATATATATATATATATATATATATATATATATATATATATATATATATATATATATATATATATATATATATATATATATATATATATATATATATATATATATATATATATATATAGTATTAGGCATATTGTTTTTAGAATTATTTTCATTTGTTGTATTCATTTTTTAGTTTTATTTAATTTTAATGTTTTACTTTACAGTGTAACGCTGTTTTCTTCAATAAAGATGAAATGGAGAGACATTCTCATCCTGAATATTCAACAAAATGTATTCTTTTTTTTAATCACATTTAAAAAGTTATGAAAAATATCTTATAAAAGTTTGCACAATCGTTTTTTTTTATATAATGTTATTTCAAAATTTATTCAATCAAGAACAACACTGATGTTCTTATATTTATATTTTTAAATATTTGATTGAGCTACAATTAGTATGTTCTTTTTAGTCATTTGTAACATTATATAGACTTCTGCAGACTCCTTAATATTCACTTGTAACATTATATAGACTTCTGCACATTTCTCAATGTTCATTTCTTTAGATATTTTATGTTGTTTATCTTAATATTTTTTAGATATTTTACATTGTTTGTCATAATAATCCTTTAGATATTGTACATTGTTTTTCATAGTGTTCTTTAGATATTTTACATTCATAATAAATATTAAAAAGTATATAATTTTATTGAAAAAAAAATTAGAGAGTTTCATGAATAATTTGATAAGTAATAAATAGAGTTCAATATATAGATTGATTGAATTAACTGAAGATTATCTAAGCTAACCGGCCTGTGGTAAAAGCTTTTAATGCTCTCAAAAGTTTTTATCTGTTTAAAATATATCAATATATATACTTTTTAAACAGATTAAAGTAAAAATGAATCCGAAGAATACAATGCTGGTGAATTTTATATTTTGGCTGAACATTAATGACAAAATCTATTAAATAATTTAAATTCTTAAATGCTAGTTTATATGATCATGTGCTTCTTTTCACTTCTATTTATTTACAGGAAAACCTCTACATTAGAAAATCTTTACATTATCATCAAAAGATTTTTTAAAGAATATGTTTAACCAAAAATGTGACCATGTCTAAGTCTTTATGACTAAGTCTTTATGACTTGTCTTAAAGTTGTCTCAAAGGTCATAAATGTGACCATGTCTAAGTCTTTATGACTTGTCTTAAGGTGTCTTTAAGGTCATAAAGTCTTTATGACTTTATGCCATGTCTAAGTCTTTATGACTAAGTCTTTATGACTTTATGACTCTTTGTGACCATGTCTAAGTCTTCATGACTAAAAAGTGGTAAATAGTATAACAATAAGAAAAATATGGCCTGCAAACTAAGAGATATTATTTTATCTATTAATTGTTGCATTGGTATTTTAATTATTTTTTTTTTTTCAAATAAATATTTAATTAAAAAATTTTCTAAATTTTTTATATGATCTTTTGTTACTTAGATGGTTCTACAGCCAAACTGAATTCTATTAATACTCCTGCTCCTCATAGTGGCATCAATGTTGTGCCAATAGGTGTTTTTTGGGATATAGAAAACTGCCAAGTTCCAAAAAATAAATCTGCACTAGCAATTGTTAAAAAATTGCGGGATCGGTTTTATCCTGGCCGCAAAGAAGCAGAGTTTATTTGTGTTTGTGACACTAAAAAAGAAAAAGAGGATGTTCTCGAAGATCTAAATAAAGCACAAGTATAAATTTTCTTTAAAATAAATTGGTAAATTCAGAAATATCATTTTTTTCATTCCATTAAAAGGGTTTAATTAAATAGCAGTGATTTTTTTTAGATATTTTATTCTATTTAATCTATTTTATTTTATTTATTAAAGTTTTCAATGTATTATTATTTTTTGATGATTGTTTTAAGTTTCCAATAGTTTAAAAATTTTAAATGAAAAAGCTTTTTTTATAATGAATGTACTTAAAATTTTAATTTATCACAATTTCTTATTATTATACAAGGTAAATGTTATTCACATAAATGCATCCTCTAAAAATGCAGCAGATGACAAGTTAAAGCAACAATTAAGGCGATTTGCACAATCTTATCCATCTCCTGCAACAGTTTTACTTGTATCTGGAGATATCAATTTTGTTGCTGATTTATCAGATTTGCGTTATCGTCATAACTTGCATATTATATTACTTCATAATAAACAAGCTTCACAAGCACTTCTCCAGTGTGCACATGAGAGTGAATGTTTTGATATATTTACAGATAGTATTTTGCCACATTCTCCAATGTTAATGGTATTTTTATTAAATGTTGATATATTTTGAATTTCGTATTAATTATTAGTTATGGTAATTAAAATTGTTTATATTTAATTGTTATTAAAAGTTATTTAATGTATTTTATATATTAAAAATAAATATTGTGATAATTTGTTTTATATGTTACCTTTTATATTTTTATATATATAGTATTATTAATTATTATAATATATTATTCTTATTTTATGAAAAATTTTAATTTTATTTTAATAAAAAAAATGTAAGTATGTTTTTTATAAGTAAATTAAACAATTATTTTTTTCTTTTTTCAAGTGAATGTATTGAATACATTGTATAAAACCTAATATATTGTATACATTGTATACAAGCTAATTTATTGTATACATTGCATTTTTGGACTAATTAAGGGTAAAAAAAATTGATTATAATTATTTATATTTAATGCATAAATAACTGTTTTGGTTGTGTAAAGGTTGGTGATGACTAAAGTTATGTTTCATAAAAGTCTAGTTTTTTGTTTTTTAGTTTTGCTAAAAGTTTTAAAAATAGTTTGTAAATTGTTTAAAATATAACTTTCAAATTTTCAAAACTAAATTAAAAAAAGGCTTGATTAAAAATTAAAATATAATAATTCATAATATAATGTATAGTGATTTTTATCATTTACTGGGGTAAAGCTTAGAGAAGGGGTATAACTTTTTATCATTTACTGGGGTAGGGAATAGGTATCCCTTCTGAGTCGAAGTGGAAGGGGGATCAGCAGTAAATTTTTTCTAAATGTTGACATATTATTTGATAAATCAAATATCATGAGATCAAGATCAAGTTAATTACAACATAGATGTGCATCAATGCATCAGCATCAGGGTATTGATGGATTTACCATTTATTCAAGCATCAGTCTTGAAAGCCATTAGCTGATGCCACTTAAAAGCCATTAGCTGATGCCACTTGAAAGCCATTAGTTGATGCCACTTGAAAGCCATTAGCTGATGCCACTTGAAACTTGGTACAGATGTTCAGGAAGAGTGTACCAACATGACAAAACAAAAAAATCGCTAATCGAAAGTATGTTGCCCGCGAAATTTGAAAAGTCACCTTAATTTTTGAACACACCTCGTATAAAAATTGCATATTTATATATACATTTTTTATATTTTTTTAATGCTATAACTCTAATCCAACCATATACTCCTCTAAGCTCATAAAACTTCAATAAAATGAAAAATAGTATCATTTACATTTAGTTATTAATCAAAAATACTCAGTTACATTTACATTACAGTTACATTTAGTCTGATTGAAAAAGTAAACAAAAGTAAGGCATACACACCCAAGAGTCAGGTTGTAAAAGTAAACAAAATTAGATCTTTCTTAGCATACACACTAAAGAGGAAAGATATTTATTAGTTGTTCTTTGTAAAGTTAAATTTTACAATTTGGTATTTAGTATGTTATTAGAATAAAGAACTTATTGTTTAGGTCCTATACAGCCATTGTTTCTTTTTTTTTTTTTTTTTTTTGCATCCAATTTACATAAAATCTGTTAACATTTAAGTTTATATTAAAAAAATAACAGCAGGTAAAATATGTTTTATGATTGTATACAAAATATAAACACAAAAATAAAAAAAAATGATGCTCAAAGCAACTCAAAGTGGCATCAGCTAATGGCTTTTTTTTGTTTTGTCATGTTGTTACACTCTTCCTGAACATCTGTACCAAGTTTTAAGTGTATAGCATTTTTTGTTTGGTTGTTCTGTGTAAAAAAACTGTTCTGTGTAAAAAAAAATGTTTACAAGTGGTACAAACTCTTTCAAGATGGCCGGGCCAATGACAAGCCTCGCTCTGGACGCCCAACCACGTCAACAACTGATGAAAACATTTAGGCAGTGAAGAAAATTGTTTTGGAAAATTGTTGAGTCACTATCAGAGAAGTTGCTGAGGATGTTGGTATATCGCTTGGCTCATGCGATGAAATTTTTTCTAACGTTTTGGACATGAGACGTGTGTCAGCGAAGTTTGTTCCGAAATTGCTCAATTTTTACCAAAAGAACCGTCGCATGAGCATCGCTCAAGAACTGTTGAATGGCGTCAACGACAACCCAGATATACTTAAAAGAGTCATAACTGGTGACGAATTGTCCCAATGGAAGAGCCCAGGTGATCCAAGACCGAAAAAAGCACGCCAAGTTCGATCAAATGTCAAAGTTTTGCTCACTGTTTTTTTCGATTACCATGGCGTGATGCATCAGGAGTGCTTACCATACGGTTGTACGGTCAATAAATAGTATTATCTTGAGGTTATGCGCTGTTTGCGAGAAGCAATACGAAGAAAATGTCCAGAATTGTGGAAAAACAATTCATGGCTTTTGCATCATGATAATGCCCCTGCTCACTCATCTTTGCTTGTGAGAGATTTTTTGGCCAAAAACAACACCACAATCATGCCTCAGCCACCATATTCACCGGATTTGGCCCCATGTGACTTTTTCTTGTTCCCAAAACTAAAGAGACCTATAAAAGGACGAAGATTTGCAACAATTGAAGATAATTGATTGAAATAATATTTACAGACTGCATCACTGGAAGAGCTCAAGGCTATACCGAAAAGTGCTTATGAGAAGTGCTTTGAGGATTGGAAAAACCGTTTGGGATAAGTGTATTGTATCTGAGGGGAATTACTTTGAAGGGGACAAAATAAATATTGATAAATAAATAAATATTTTTTTCTTAAAAATACAAAGTCACCTTAATTTTTGAACACACCTCATATATATATATATATATATATATATATATATATATATATATATATATATATATATATATATATATATATATATATATATATATATATATATATATATATTTATGTTTGTAATATTTATATATATTTTATATTTGTAATATATATATATTATATTTGTAATATATATATATATTATATTTGTAATATATATATATATTGCATCTTTGTTATATATATATATATATATATATATATATATATATATATATATATATATATATATATATATATATATATATATATTGCACATTTAGATAGTGAATGATAATATAGTATTTTTAATTTTCTTTTAATTCATTATTTTGTAATTATTTAGACAAGCGAAACAAAAGAGTCGAATCAACTTGCTGTATTCAATATTCCTCACTGTAAAAATATATCCACTGAACGCATAACACAACGGTTAAACTTACTTTCACAAAATACAGGAGGAAAAGTGATTAAAGTCAAAGCTTTTAAAAGTCCTAGCAATAATAAAGCTATAATTAGTTTTCCGAATGTTGATTGTGCTCGCCGGTAAGTAATTCTATTTAAGTTTAATTTTTTACAAATTTAAGAGAGATAAACCAAAGGTTTAAATATAGTCAATAAACCCTATTTATATTGTATTTATATTGATAACGTTATAATATTATTAGTAGGAAGATTGTCATACCAGTTTACCGGTAAATAACTTTCTGATAAATAGCTAAGTAAGTTTTCTTCTGAGAAGTTGCAATAATTTACCAGTAATTTGCCAGTTTTTTTTTACAGGTTGACTCAATTATTATTTATAATATTTGCTAGCTACTCTGTTATATAGAAAACACTATTTAGCATTATCTCTATTCAGTTTTAGGTGGTCATGTAATTGGGTGTTAGACATGTAATTGGGTGTTGGATATGTAATGGGGTGTTGGACATGTAATTGGGTGTTGGAGAGAGTGAACATGAAATAATTTATAGAAATATAGAATAATTTATAGAAATATTAAGAATATAGGAATATAGAAATAAGTCTAGTAAAAATCTGAGAAATTGAGTTGATTTTCTGTAAAAATTTGACAGAAATCATGCCACTGTAGCCACGGAAAAAGTCATGCCACTGTAGCTAACTACGTGTAGTTATGATATGATCTTTATAAGATGTCATTATACATGTAAAATTCAAATCTGCAGATTTAAATTTTACATGTATAATTTTAAAATGTATTAGGTTAAATTAATTCTGTAATAGGGCAGGTGAGACTCATAAGTAACGTTAAAGGCAACTTACTTAGGAGAAGAAAAAACAGAAATAAAAACTTTTAATTAAGAATTGGAGTAGTTCCTTAACTTTAGATAGCAATCAGATTAATGCCTGGAAGAGCATTCAGCTTTAGATAGCAATCAGATTAATGGAAGAGCATTCAGCTTTAGATAGCAATCAGATTAATGGAAGAGCATTCAGCTTTAGATAGCAATCAGATTAATGGAAGAGCATTCAGCTTTAGATAGCAATCAGATTAATGGAAGAGCATTCAGCTTTAGATAGCAATCAGATTAATGGAAGAGCATTCAGCTTTAGATAGCAATCAGATTAATGGAAGAGCATTCAGCTGATTCATGGAAGAGCATTCAGCTTTAGATAAAAGCTGAATGCTCTTTATCAGTAATAATGAAGGCAACTTACTTAGAAGAAAAAAAACTGAAATAAAAATTGTTAATCTTATTGTGGTGAGAATTGGAGTAGTTCCTAAACTTTGGATAGTAATCAGATTAATACCTGAAGAGCTTCAGCTTTTTCATTATATCATATTTAAAAAACTTTACTACTATACTTTAAATGTAGGTTGTATTAATGTTTAATTATGAGTCTTCTTTTTACTTTATCAATTAGTAGCCTTTAAGGGAAACAGTTGCTGTTAGTTGGTATGATTAGTTCTATTATTCTGATATTATTGGTCTGTTGTTGCTTTTATTTTCTTTAGAACAGATCAAGAATAAGTTAATAGAAACAATGACTAATCGTTTTGCCAAGTTAATTTAAGTTTAATTGAGTAAAGTGTTATTTTTGCATTTGCTGTTTTTGCAAGATTATAGTGTTATTTTTGCATTTGCTGTTTTTAGTATTTAAAAAAAACATTTCAAAAACAGTTTAGTTGATTGTCTTGTCTGCTTGTCAGTTTTTTAAAAATAAATCAGAATTTTAACTTTTATTTTTGTAAATTAAAAAAAAAAAAAAAATTTTAACCTTAAAGGAAATCTCAAAATTATTTTTTTGCAATTGTTTGTCTCATCATGTTTCTCTACTGTATCTACTTGTTTACTATTGTTTGGGTCTTTTCCTGTTCCTTTCTGTATCTACTTTTTTACAATTGTTTGTCTCTTCCTGTTTCCCTGCTGTATCTACTTATTTGCAATTGTTTTTGTCTATTCCTGTTTCCCTCCTATATTTGCTTATTTAATAAATATGCAATAGTGAAATATTTGGGAAAAGACTTGATTCTTGGTAAAAGATGATAAATAGAAAAATAGGAAGTTTGCTATTTTATTTTTCTTTCCTGCAAGTTTTAATTTTTTAGAAAGACTTGAAAGGCTTAGAGATTTGACTAAGATTTTTCACTTTTTTCCTCGGAATTTTTACTTTAATAAAGTTAGATTTTTACTTACTCTCAGAAAGCTTGATTTTTTCCTACTCTCAGAAAGCTTGATTTTATTAGATTTTAAATTTTTTTTAAATTTTATTACATTAATTAAGTTAGATTCAGGTTACTTGCTTAAAGAGATTCCTCACTGATTTGACAAGTTTTCTTTTCACAATGGAATCAGTTTTAGTAAAACATCACTTTAAAAATGAAATCAATTTCTGTAAAAATAATAACTCTTACAGAGTTATCATTAGTGCTTTTTAATGTCTTTTCACTTTTCACAAAATCATTGCTTATATAAGGCAATACAATGCTTTTTAATGTCTTTTCACTTTTTCACAAAATCATTGCTTATATAAGGCATTACAATGATTTTTTTTCACAAAATCATTGCTTATATAAGGCAATACAATGATTTTTTTTTTCACAAAATCATTGCTTATATAAGGCATTACAATGATTTTTCTTCACAAAATCATTGCTTATATAAGGCAATACAATGATTTTTTTTCACAAAGTCATTGCTTATATAAGGCATTACAATGATTTTTTTTCACAAAATCATTGCTTATATAAGGCAATACAATGATTTTTTTTTTCACAAAATCATTGCTTATATAAGGCATTACAATGATTTTTCTTCACAAAATCATTGCTTATATAAGGCAATACAATGATTTTTTTTCACAAAGTCATTGCTTATATAAGGCATTACAATGATTTTTTTTCACAAAATCATTGCTTATATAAGGCATTACAATGATTTTTTTTCACAAAATCATTGCTTATATAAGGCAATACAATGATTTTTTTCACAAAATCATTGCTTATATAAGGCAATACAATGATTTTTTTTATTAGTTAGTTTAACTATCACTTAAAGATATTAAAATAAATCATTCTGATATATAATTATCAGAATGATTTTAAATTTAAAAAAAAAATCCTTTTTCTTTGTTTTTAAATTGATTTTTTTAGTGTTACTATTTTGTTTAGACCTGGTTGAATTGTAAAACATTGAAAAACACCACAAAATTAAACACTTGAATTATGAAATCATTTATTATCATGTTTATACCTGCTCGTTTTTGTATTTTTTTAGGTGTCTTAATATCTCTCTTAAGTTAAAGTGCATGATATGAAGCAGTTATTGCAAACACAAGATATGGTTTGACATGTTGTGTTAGTCCTTCCATAGATTGAGCCTTCTCAAATCTTATTTGGAAAATATTGATTTAATTTGTTTGCTTTCCATAGAGTTTGTTTGATATGTCAAAGTGAATTAATAGATTTTGATCGTTTTGCAAAAATGTTTTGGTTTAGGTGACAATTCTGTTCATGATGTCTAGTATAAATTTTTTTTTTTTTTGCAGGTTTATAAACAACACTAAGAACTTTTGTGTTGTCTGCATATACTTAGCAGATACCATTAGAGTTGATAGATTCAGGGCTGTGAATAGTATCCTGCAATTAGCATCTTGTAAGGCTCACCTTAGCTTTTTTTCCCCTGTTAGATAAGACATCACCTTGAATAACTTATTAAAATCTTTAATATAAAAAGGTTTGATCCGTTTCAATATATTTTTATACCATTATATTTTAAGCTTGCATAATAGAGTTTTATAAGTAGTTTTTAAAATACTTATGTATTTATAAATTTAAATTACTTGTGCATAATACATATATACCAAAGTTGAAAAATTTACCTTAGGAGGGTCTTTCAGATAAAACAAAAAAAAACTATATTTTTTAAATGATCAACAAATAATTTCTAATTCACTTTGTTTATGTTTTCACAAATTAAATTCTTTAATTATATGGTTTAAAGAGTTTGAGCGTTAGTATATTAGTATTATGTATAATAAAATGCAAACATTATCGATCGCCCTCAAAAATAATTGCATAAAATGTTTAAAATTTAAACTACTCTTCTCTTCAAATAAAATTATTACAACTGATAACTTGCCTTTATCATCTAAAATCTTTACAGCAATTAATAAATTTAGTACATCACATGCTTCAGTTTCTGATAAGGAAAACTGTTCATCTTTTGATGCAGATGGTCAATATTATGACATTAATAAATTTTGTTCTTATAACTTTGACATCATAAACTTTATGTCCTTTTTCCATTCTAACATATCCTCTTTACAAAAGCACTTTGAAGATCTGAACATATTGTTATCAGTAATTAGTTTTGAATTTAGCATTGATGGAAACAAGATTAAAAAAAGAATCTCCTTCCACAAATCCAACTATTATTCAAAAATATATTTTTGAGCACATACCAATAGAATCTTCTTGTGGTGAAACCTTGTTATATTTATCAAAAAAACTGATTTATAAAAAAAGAGATGATTTGATCATATACACACCAAACTATTTAGAATCTACTTTTGTTGGCATTTTCCCTAAAAAATCAAATGTTATTGTTGGTTGCATATATAGACACCCTAGCATGGATATAAATGACTTCAATAATAAAATGTCTGTCCTTCTCCAAAAAAAATCTACTGGAAATAAATCTGTTTTTCTACTTGGCGATTTTAACATGGATCTGATGCAGTCAAACTCTGACTTTGCAACTTCTGAGTTTTTAAACTTACTTCTTATAATATTCACCCATTTATTTTTTGTTGAAAAATACCTAAATACTACGATAATAAAACACATATTTTTTAAAGAAAGAAATGAATTTAACAATAATTATGAAGTTTATTGCTATAAAAAATTTCAACCCTAGTTTAAATATTGTAATATAATATCTTAATAGTATTAAATATGTTCCTTGCTTATTACACTATAAACTTAAACTTTAAGTTATAACTTATGCTGTAAATATTAACAGTAACTTACGCTGTTTTAAACTCCACCAAAAGAGAAAATTATAAGGTAATATTTAAATAT